TGCTTGAGAAGACACACAGAGGTTTCTTTTACAAATTGGTTACACATCTTATACCCCGATCCTCTCCATTTTTTATGATGAGGTTTAAACAGGGTAAACTGTGCTGGACAGTTCTATTTGTTCATTAGAATTATTCACACTATTCATACAGTATAGACACTCTTGTAAACCTGCTTTTAATTATCAGTATGACGACAGTCTCTATTTCCTAAACTGAATATGAGATGTAGAACATAAATGGAGAAAAGAACAACATAAAAGGAAACAACATAACAACATAAAAGAACAACATAAAAGGAAATGGAAATATACTATTAATATTACTCAAGGATAATATGTATTGCTGTTTTTAAGTAAAATAATCTGATGTATGTAATTCCAAACATTTGTGATATCTTTTATACAGTATGGACAAATAATACAGTTTTGTTCATTTGATGTTTGTGATTACAGCGATTAGAAAAAGGACAATAAAGCATCAGGAATTCAAACCCCACAGTGAGCCAGTGATTAATCTAGATTTTGGCTTTTTTAATTTCTGTAAGCGGTTTACGTGAACATTAATTATGTTTCACACGTTGATCTGTTTGATCTGTTGGCTGCGGGTACTGTTCCTCACTGCAGTGATTAACCTGAGTGAAAAAAAACAAAAACAAAACGCTGGCCTAGATTTCCTTATGACCTGAAATCTACTACTGGATGACTCATAAATAGAGATATATTTCTGTAACTGATAAGGTCAGTCGCTACTCGCAGCTGTGCTGGGATTGGAGGCAATAACGTCTTTGCAAACCAACGTCACAAATGATTTTGTAATAGCTAATTTAAGAAACCTCTGCATTGGCTATGAGGCCGAATGCTACACCAGGCTTTGTTGCACAGATGGTGCGTACAATACCGATTTACAAACAGTATAGTTCTTCAAAGGCACGGTCCATCACAGAATGACAATTACAAATTTGCTGCCATGTCAATACAAACCTGTGTGTGGTATATAATAAGCTAAATGTTCAGAATTTTTTATTGTGATTTTACTTTAAAAATACCAATGTATTTTCACCCAAACAAAACAAAATAAACAGGCTTCAGTGGTGTTTTGTAGCTTGTTGATTTTCAAAGTAACTACTTTTGTGTTACACAAAAGACAAACATGTTTAGAATGACCTCTTTTTAAGTTTCCTTTACTTAGTAATGATTGGACAATGTATAATAAACCAAATAAATCTAGATCTCTGTTATTGTGCACAATTAAAATATATTAAAGATTGTCCATTTACGGAAAGTTCTAACAAAATACTGGCCTCTCATACTGTAGTATTTTTAAATGTCTGGGTAAAAACCACAACTTTTTTCCCCGTTTGAACACAATATATTTTATTTTAAGAAACATTGAAATATTTTGTATCAGTAAACATTTTAGGTTAAATAATTAAAATGAATCTTTCTACTGTATTCATTACGGTTTCAAAAACACAGATTTCTTTACAATTTAGAATGCGATCTTTGAATATTTTTTTGCTGGACATACTGTTGTAATAAAAACAATAATAAAAAATTTAAAATAAAAAATTCTTATGCATACCTTAGGAACAGTAAATGGTATAGCAGAAAACAGTTATCATCCCATGCCTAGTCTGTGATTATTTTACAACTGCTTATTCATTTGGGCAAAAGACTGGGAATAATAAACCACAGTAAATGGCAGTAAACAGTGTGTCTCCAAGCAATTGTGTTTAAACATTACATTAAAAAAAAACTTATAATAAAAAAAATAAAAGTTTGCAAAATCATGTAGCATAATAAGCTGTTATGGATAAAAATCAGTAGAAGTGAATGTCAATAAGCTGATTCCGTACATGCATATAAAAAATGGCTAAAAATGTCCTTTATAAAATATACATATATTATAAAGCAATAAGTCATAAAGTAGTTGACCTGCAACTTGTGCAAAGTGCTTTACGGTAGCGCTTGCTGCCTGAGGGGTATAAATCCCATTCAATTTTAATTGTTTGTTGATTAAACATGATGCTGTCGATGAGATGAGATAGCATTCTCTTCCCTGCTATTGTATGCAGATGTGTGACAGGGTTTCATCTGCCTAGAAGTCGATCCCATGTCCCCGGCTTGTGTGTCTCATCATGGCAGCGAGTATCTCTTTCTTTTATCTGTCACTTTGAGTTGAAGAACGACTGGATATCATTAAGCACTGTGGCTGTACTCGTTACCTTGCGGTCTTGACACTTTCTCTGGCTTTGCTGCGTCAGTGAAATCAGTTTGTGGCATCATTTGGAAGGACATTCAACAAGACTGTTTTTTGATTTTGCAACAAAATAGAAGTTAAGTAAAACCAAAGTAAAAGAACAACACTTTTAGCTTTCCTTTAGCTTAGTCTCTCATTTAACAGGGGTCGCTACAGCGGAATGAAACGCCAACTACACTGGCATACGTTTTATGCAGTGGATGCCCTTCCAGCCACAACCCATAAACTCTCTCATACACACACACACACACACACACACACACACACACACACACACACAAAATCACACAATCACACAATCAAACAATCAAACACACAATCACACACACACATTCACTACGGCCTTGTTTATCCAATATACTTGGGGTGCTTTCACACTAGCACTTTTGGTCGCACCTGGGTTCGTTTGACACCAGAGTACAGTACGTTTAGCTAGTGTGAACATGTCTTCTGAACTCAGGTGTGCACCCACGAATCGGTGGCCTGTAAGAGGCGATTCACTTCTGGTGTGAATGAAATCATATAACGAAAGTCAACCGCCAAATGAACAAACTATCCTTTTCATAACGCTCATCCATGTGTGTGTGTCTGTGTATCATGTACTGTACCTGTGACAAGCGGGACTGAGCCAGGGCAAACAGTGATAAGGTCTGCTTGTCTCCTCCAAAAACAGCTTCTGCAGACATCGCATTATGTTCTGAAATTTTATAATATTTTAGGGGCAGATGGACATGAGTTTCTTTCTGTATGTCCAAAATCAAAAGATTCAGTAAAAGCAGAACAACCATGACGTGTATACGTCTTTCCATTTGTAATAAAATTTAGCAATTTGCTTTCGTGTCCGTCACCTAGCAACAGCTGTACACAACACAGCAACTCAATGAAGCAAGCGTACTGGGGTTCAGAAGGAAAAAAGACAGTGTGAACACAAACCGACCGAGAAGGTGGCAGGGGGGGACAATTGAACTTGGGCAGGCAATTAAACCAAGTGTGAAAGCACCCTTACATGGCATGTTTTTAGACTGTCAGGAAAACCAAGCACACCAAATCAAACACTGGAAGAACTTGCAAACTCCACAGAGAAATGCTAGGACTCGAACCAGTGACCTTTTTGCTGTGAGGCTACAGTGCTAACCACTGAGCCAACGTACCACTCATACAGTAAATCAATAAAAAAAGATACCAGTTCACACTGCATTTACACTTTACTTGAACGTTTTAATTTATCGAACATCATTCACAATTAATCACAGTAGTCTTTATGAATCACTTACATGCATTCAGAAATGTTGATATTGGGTTTGATGACAACTTTTAGGTTGTGTTTAAATAGGGACCTGGGTTAAAGGCACGGTGTGTAATTTTTGCCACTAGAGGGCATGTATTTACAACCAACAAAGGCATACTTTGATGACACACTAAATGAGTGTGTCATTTTCAATACATCCTACAGGACTCCTGCAGAAATCATGTTCATAAGCTATGTTTCCATCCAAAAATGCAAATTAACTTTAGGTGCAAAACTCGAATATCACATAAAAGACATGCGAATAAAGCAGCATTTCAATCCAACAAGTCAAAGAGAACAAAATTGTCACTTCTTGGTTAACTGGTGCCAAATATCAAAATTAAAGAAGAAATTTGCTGCGGTAGGAAAAGCTGTATGAATCTTTTCTTCATTTAATAAATGACTTGGTCCTCAGAAGACACTATGCTGACATGCAATGGACATGTGGTGGCCTTTGAAGGCATGTGACGCAGAGCACTGATTCTCTTAATTAATAATATATACCACTAATATTGGCAATGCGGTGGCGCAGTACACTCAAAAAAATGAATTTTGGCTTTTGTTGGTTCAAAGAATATAACTATGTTTAAATTAAACAATTTGCTTATGTTTGTGTACTAAAAATAAAAGTGTTATGTTGGAAAAAATTAGAAAAAGTAAGTTTTTACATTTAAACAGCTTGCTTAATTAACATGAATGAAAGGGAGTTGTGTTGCTTCTGCAGTACTGCATTTTGGTCAATAGGTGGAGTAATATCTGCACATGCGCAGTTTCAAAACAACACAGGAAGTCAGAAGATTCAAACCACAACGATCACTCTCAGCTCGTTTAGATCGGCGCCATAATATGGGAATCAAAAGATGAAGATTACAGTACAAATTGAGAACGTGCACAGAAAGCTTTCCTTAATGTGGACGCAGGTGAGATTTTTTTACTTTGTATGTATTCATACTGAGGCTGTGACAACATTTGAATCATTAATGAACTTCCTTGTAATACTATGTTGTGTTTGTGTATAGTATTGTTATGAAATTGTCATGTTTCCTGTGTCTTTTTCACATTAAAGGCAGATTAATTTCTAGTTTTTTTGCATTCCTGTGAAATTTTATACTTGGTATATATTAACCCCAAAATAAAGTTGCAAACGTTGGTAGTAAGAAATAGTCTAATTTTAAATGAGTGTCAAGCAGTTTATCAAGTTTTAATGCCAGTTTTGATAACTTACATAATATTAATTAAAAGGTGGTGTTGGCACAAGGATATGTGACACTTACTGTATATAGGATGACATCTAGCATGATGACATATTTAATGTAAGCTTATATGTTTGGTCATCTAACACATTTAAACTTTTAAGTTTAGTAGTTTGCAGTTTTTTTTTTCATTTTTATTATTATAAATATATTATTCTAAATGCTATATATTTATATTATTTTATTTTATTATTACAAATCTTTGCTCACTCGCATCTTTTTTCTCCCTCAGGTTTACAGCTCAGCCTCTGACCCATATCTGGTTGAGGAGACTGTGGATAATCCAGGTACTATGCCTTTAGATGCCTAGACACGCATTAAAATGATGTACAGTAAAAATTACTAGTAATTTTAACTAATAATTATTTAGTAAATTACAAATTGTCATTTCATGTCGTTTAGAACATCACCAGTGGAAAAAAAGGTGTGAATGCATTCAGAAAAAGCCCTTGTGAGTGAGTACACGGTAAGCCATTTACTTTTTTTTTTTTTTTTTTACATTTTGCATTTTCCTCTTAAACTATTTCCTACTTTCACCTTTGATCTGCTGGTAAACTTTTAATTTTTTTACTTGACATTTTTAGGATGCTGGGCATGATGAAGCACAAACCTTGATGTGCAACACCACCTTATGAATCTACAGTAGTTACATTAACATTTATCAGACTCTTTTGTCTAAAGTGACTTACAATTGAGGAGACATTCAGCAAATCAACAAGAAGAGGCAATACACCCAAGATGTGCTAATTATACAAAAAAATGTTAAGAATTAAGAATGCTTCTACATGTGGTTTGTGGTTTGTCAAAAGTGGTTTGTTTTTTTGCGTGTGTGTTTGTTTTTTAGATATATGGAGTGGTTGTAAGAAAGTGTCTGGTGCAAATGTGCAGAAATGGTGCCCAGAGAGATGAATGTGTGTAGCTATTGCATGTTCTGTGATGGTTGGTCTAATTTATGATGTAATGCTGATTGTGTTACATTGCTTTAAAGTGGTAATCTTTCTTTGAACAACTAAAGTGTTATCTGCTTTTTCAGTGTAAAGAAGTTACAGCATAGTTTACAAAAGAAGACTTAATTTTTCTAAGTATATTTTTGTAACTCATTTAATGACAGAATATTATTTTTAAATGTTTTTTGTAATATATGAAAAGTAATTTGAAAAGTGTTTTTATGATGTAAGCTTATTTTTGTAAATCATTTATTGTTTTTAATTTACTTCATACTTGTATTAATATTAATTTAATAGTATATTGTACATACAGTATTTTAACTTATTGTAATAAGTGAAGATACAGATAAAGACAATATTTGGATTTTGATAATCATTTTATTGCTGGAAAATTTGTAAAACTGTAAAAATGCTATTGAATAAACTCAATGAAACAGAAACGGTTTTTTTATTTGGTTAAACATAACAATATAAATTTTAGAATAATTGAACTTAAATAACTACATTGATTAAAGCTAAATTATGAATGTTACATTGATTGAACTAAACAACATTACATTACCTTTATGTAACTAACTTAAGTTCACTAAAATTAATATTCTTTCTTAAAGGTAACTTAACTCAGTTACGTGGAACGAGTGGACAAAAAAAAGTTAATTAACGCCAACATATCATTTTTTTGAGTGTAGGTAGTGCTGTTGCCTCACAGCAAGAAGGTTGCTAGTTCGAGCCTCAGCTGGGTAGGTTGGCGTTTCTGTGTGGAGTTTGCATCTTTTCCCTGCGTTCACGTGGCTTTCCTCCGCGTGCTCCGGTTTCCCCCACAGTCAAAGACATGCAGTATAGGTAAATTGGGTAAGCTAAATTGTTCGAAGTTTATGAGTGTGAATGAGTGTGTATAAATGTTTTGCAGAGATGGGTTTTAGCAGTTCAGAACAACTGTCCAACCAAAGGCAAAATACAAGATGGTGTCACTTGAGCAACAGACATCTTTATGACAAACACAGTGCATAATATAAGACAGAATGTGGCGGACAGTTGAGAACCCGTATTTGCTTGATTGTGTGACTGGCACACCTTTCCCCTGCTGCTGTTTTGTGTGCGTGGGTCTGTCCATACATTTTACGTACTGCCCTAAGACATTATAATCACCTCATGGTCCACTTTGGTTCTTTGCTTGTCAAAGTGGCCACCGACTATTATAAAGTCTATAGGTACTGTCAGTCTCTGTTCTAGATTTGTTTACGTACCTAAAAGTTTACAAGCAATGTATCAAAATTCCACTGATTTCCTGAAATAAACTTTGCATTTGGGGATAAGCGCAGCTCTTTGATAATGAGCAGAACTCTCCTTGCTCTCTAGTACTGGATAAACTCAACATGTAGCATATTCCACTTTCTTTTTCTACTTTGGAGAAGAGAGAGGATAAGTATCACTGCTTAAATCGACTTCAAAATGTTTTGTGTTTTTTTTCACATTGAAATAATTGATAAGAATCAGACAAGGATATGGATATATCCTGGATATGTATACAAAAAAAATGCATTTCAGACTTCAGTGTGGAAAGACCTTAAAGCTAACAGCTGCTAAAGCGAAATGAGAGCTCCGAAGCAATTGTTAATGAGAGACGAGCGCAATGCAGTACAAAAGCAAAACAGCTTTTATTATACCACATTTGCCCACTTCCAATTCTTCAGGTGATAATCGCATGGGAAAGAAGCAGCGCTGTTTTATCATACTTAACAAATGTAAAACTGTTATAATGCTGCTTTGTGCAGTCTAATAAAATACACAACATTTTAAAGCATCTTGGTATCTCTCTGTTTTCTATAAAACCAAACCGTAAACCAACTGATGTAATTAGCATGGCCACACAGGACACAGTTAATGTCACTAGTTAAAAATTGCTTATTTCTCTGCATGAGAACCTTCTTCTAATTATTTTGGTTAATATAATGTATGTGCGCAAGTCAGCAAAATATTTCACACTGTTTTAAAAGATTTTGGATATGTTGTCCTTAATCATCCCTGAGCTGTAATAATAATAATAATAATAATAATAATAACAATGAAAATAAGTAAATAAAAAACTTTTGTCCTGTTTTCAATCCAAATATCTAAAAAAAAACTTACTTTAAAAAAAACTTATAGCCTTATGTCTTGTTATCTGAAAAAGACACCTCAAAATTATTATTATTATTTTTTGCTTAAAACAAGCTAAATTGTTTGCCAATGAGGTAAAAAAATTATCTTAATGAGATATATTCTCAAACAGAAGTTAAGCAACACTTAATTTTTTCATGCCATTTTTCTTGTCTAGTAATCTTGATTTAAGATTTTTTAGATATTTGGACTGGAAACGAGACAAAATAAATAATCAATAATAATTAGAACGTAATGTTTTTATGGCAACACGTCATGTATGTCACGTGACACACCGCAGCCACAATAGCGCTGTATGACAGATGTATTCCTTTTATTATGCTTTTCCGTTTTAACACAAAGTTTATAAGTGAGTCTTTTTTTTTGTTGTTTAAGAGACATATAAATGATCTTGATCGTGATCTATAACGTGAGATGGGCATCGCCTTGTTTACTTGCGGCCACGTACATGCCTCATTCATAAAAGCAGAACATGCAGGATTCAGCACACAAATTCATCAGTTACTCGAAAAATGCATGCAAGCAAGTGGCTGACAAGTTGGGAGAAGAATAGATTGAACTTTATTGTTACTTTCACTATGTGCATCTGATATGAATAATACACATCGGCAAACTATATTTGAATGGATTGTTAGACTTTTATAGGCTTCCTTGTGTACTTGAGTACTTGTATTTACATGTCTAAAACATAAAATAAGCATTGGGTGGCTAAAAACACTGCATAACTGTGATAATATGACATGTCTTTGTCTGGCTCAGAACCAGCCAATGCACAGCTCAGTTTGAATTTTTCACATCATGCTTGTCAAGCTTGATAACAAGTAAACATCAGCACCAGGGACATTACGTCTCTGTATCGCGTGACACGACGAATCAATTATGAAATTTGTTGTCAACGCTTTGACAACTATACAATAGTATAACTATAAATTCTATCAAACTTTTAATGCTTTTTAAAATGTTCTCAAAAGACTGAAAAAATGCATAAGGGAAGAAATAGCAATAAGCTGTGAATAACCTTAATTAAATCCACCCATTACAACCACTGAAAGTTCCTAATATTTTCCTACCAATCTACAAGTTGCATAGAAAACCATCTGTAAGCCAGGCTCGATTGTGGTACTTCTACACTATTTCCAACAGGCATGTTTCAAGTGTTGTCAGAATATATTAGATTAACTTTTTGTACTCCGCTGAACTCAATCTCTATTCATACAGTAACTTGTTGCTTCAATAAAAGCTCCCATCTTCCATTAAAAAGTAGGCAGTCAAATTTCAGGTAATACACAATGTAATTGACAGCTACCATAACAAGAATTATTTCAGACCCAAGGGCACAGTGTTGTGGCTGCTTAAGTGAATGCCTATATGTTAAAAATACAAGTAGTCTAATTTTGTGATGAGAGGTAGGCAGAGTGGCCACCTTTGAATGTGACTGGAACAAAGCATTTTGTTCAAGGAGAGATGCAATAAACATGGGGAACACATCAAGTATGTGCATGATTTCTATCTCTGCAGGTGCACTTTATAAAAACAATGTCATATCAATTTTCTCTGGAAACTGCTGGTGGGATTTTTTTTTAAACTAAACCTGCCTATGTTGAGTTTTACAAACCAATATTTAATACAGTTTTTAACCTTTAAGTAGTTTAGTCATGCAATTAAACTTTTTCTTTTTTCCTTTCTAATCATAGCATATGTAATATTTAATTTTGATTTGTTTTTATAAAAAAGGATTATCATATTTTTTACAGTAAATTACAGAAAAGAAGGACTGAACTGCAATTCAGTGTAACAACAGCCAATGTGATGAGATGTCATAATTACCACAGTAAAGACCAGAAAAACACTACTTATTGTATTTTTAAATATTTGTATTTTGTCACTATTATTCAGACCAACATGGTTGATTTTTGCTTTCAATTTCCCTTTAAAAGCAAACCACCCCACAAATTTAATATTTAGTCATGATTTATACTCATTAATTAATTAATTAATTCAAACTTGTGTGGTAATCAATTTTGGATGACTTTTCAGCAACTATTAATATTAATTTAAGTTGTTTTACTTCAGAATAAATGGCAAAAAAATACAATTGTATTTATCTTCATATTTAACTTCCTTTCATTTAGACCAACCCCAATTTTCATGTTTGTTAAAGTGCCCAAATTTAATCTGATAAATTATTTTCTACATATTTTAATAGGTACAGGACAGTGTAGGTATGTTGCTTAATTTTTACATAAACACATAAGGCCTCTGCAGGATGAAAGAAGTTAAATATAATAGCTTTAAAAAAAATAAACATATGATTTCAAAATGTAAATATTTAGAACAAAACAAGTTGTTTTAGAAACACTTAGTAGTATAAAAATACAACATCTAACAGGGGTTGCCACAGTGGAATAAACCGCCAACTTATCCAGCATATGTTTAACACAGCAGATGTCCTTCCAGCTGCAACTCAGCACTGGGAAACATACTGTCACATGCACACATAAACTACGGCCAATTT